CTCATCTGAAATTCGAAATTTTAAATGGTTTATCAATTAAATTTCGAAATTATGTATTTATTTTGCACAATCTGAAATTTGAAATTTGAAATTCAATAAAAAGAAAACTCTTTTCACGGAAAAGCATTCACGATCTCTATTCATGGAGATCAATAGAAACAAAAAAAAAATTCACAATTGTTGAAGACCTGATTGTCATTCAATTCACAATTTCGTTATGGTTATTTTTTAAATAATATATACACAATAATGATATAACAAAGATATTATCTTTGTTACATATTTGATTCAAATATCATAACAATCAAGAATCAAGAGAGCTGACAGACAAAATAAATTAGATAATCAGGTGTTTTAATTGCTTTTTATCTTGGAATTGGTCGTCTCATCTGAAATTCGAAATTTGAAATGGTTTAAAATTTTGAATTTAAATATGGATGGTGGGAAAAGAATTTCTTTTAAAAATCGAATTTTAATTTTTAAATTGAATAATTAAATGATCGTTTGTGGTGGCAGATATAAAAGAATATAAAATTAATAAATATGATTTTGTAATTCGAAATTTTAATTGGATAATCAAGTGTTTTAATTGCTTTTTATGTTGGAATTGGTCGTCTGATCTGAAATTCAAAATTTGAAATGGTTTAAAATTTTGAATTTAAATATGGATGGTGGGAAAAGAAATTCTTTTAAAAATTAAATTTTAATCTTTAAATCGAATAATTAAATGACCATTTGTGGTGGCAGACAAGACATTCAATGTCCCACTGCCCATCACATTGGCATCCAAAAAGAAATCAGCTGATTTAATTGCATTTTATGTTGGAATGCGTCATCTGATCTAAAATTCAAAATTTGAAATGGTTAAAAATTTTGAATTTAAATATGGATGGTGGAAAAAAATTTCTTTTAAAAATCGAAATTTAATTTTTTAAATCGAATAATTTAATGACCATTTGTGGTGGCAGACAAGGCATTGAATGTCCCACTGCCCATCACATTGGTATTCAAAAATAAATCAGCTGTTTTAATTGCTTTTTATGTTAGAATTGGTCATCTGATCTAAAATTCGAAATTTGAAATGGTTTAAAATTTTGAATTTAAATATGGATCGTGGGAAAAGAATTTCTTTTAAAAATCCAATTTTAATTTGTAAATCGAATAATTAAATGACTATTTGTGGTGGCAGACATAAAAAAATAATTAATTAATAAATATGGTTTTGAAATTCGAAATTTTAATTGGATAATCAGGTGTTTTAATTGCTTTTTATGTTGAAATTGGTCGTCTGATCTGAAATTCAAAACTTGAAATGGTTTGAAATTTTGAATTTAAATATGGATGGTGGGAAAAGAAATTCTTTTTTTTTGGAAATACAATGAAAACTAAAGCAACATAAAAAAAAGCCCTATACTGGGCACAATCTTGGGAGACTAACTCCCCTCAAGTCATTACGAAGCAATTCCAAACAAGCCGTTGGAGGGACATCCAGCACAATCAGTTGTCCATCCTGATGAGGTGCATGAGTAGCAAGCCAATCAGCAACAAAATTGCATTCTCTATAAGTATGACTAAGCTGAGTAATCCAGTCTCTTTGAAGCATGCTACGAGCTCGGATGATTAAAGCAGAAAGAGGATGACTTACGTCACACCCTTTTCTTATAAATTCCAAAGCCACCTTGGAGTCACCCTCCACAAAGACTCTCCTAAATCCCTTATGCCAAGCCAGATCCATACCTGTCAAGAACCCCCAAATTTCCGCTGAAGTAGAAGTACCACTCCCAAGGAATTTTGTAAAACCAGTTAACCAGTTCCTAGCAGCATCCCTTATGACTCCACCACATGCAGTCCTTTGCCCACTGTCTATGCTGGAACCATCCACATTAAGTTTAACATAACCCTCAGAGGGAAAATTCCAGTGAATAAGACGTTCCTCTCTTCTAAGCTCCTGATGACCAATCTTAGTAAGGGTTTCATTAGCCAATTGAATATTACCACAAGTATAGGTAATGCGCCTAATGAGACCATACTTCGAGGTGATAGTTTGATCAAAGATCGCCTTATTTCTTTCCCCCCACAAACACCAAGCTATCACCCCAAAATACAAAGGCCAGGTTCGATCAGTTTGAAACGGACCTTTTAATCCTAGATTTGTCTGAATCCATAGGTGAAGATCCATGGAGAAAAAGTCACTACGGTTATCAGAAGGAATCCAATGCTCCCATAATTCCCTGGCACTAGGACAATCTCTAATGGAATGTAAACTATCCTCAAGATTATAATGACATCTCAGACACCCTGCATCTGTAGCCATGTGACGATGCACTCTATGAACATTAGTTAAAAGAGAACCTCTGTAGAGAAGCCATAAGAATTGTTTAATACGTTCAGGACCAGGCCAAGCCCAAATTACCTTCCAAATCCTATCCTGATGATAATGCGAGGTACCCATGAGATAGTTATAAGCTGATTTCACTGAAAAAACCCCATCTTGGCTACCTGCCCAAATAACACGGTCCGGAGAAGGATCCACTGTAGGAGGGAGCACACTACGAATCTTGTCTAATACTGACGTAGGAAGAAGGTGCTGAAATAAAGGCCAGTCCCAATTACCATAACAAGTTACAAATTGAGACGTAGACCAATGAGTCATAATAGGAGGAATAGGTTGAACGGCCAGAGAAACAAGTTGAGGACATCCTGGCACCCACGAATCCATCCAAAAATACGTATGAACCCCATCCCCTAAAATGATACGAGAATTCTCTAGAGTTTGAGGCCAATACTTAACAATAGCCTTCCATAAACCAGAATCATTTGCGGAAGCCGAGATACTTGGAATGAGCCTTTCCTCCACCTTATACTTGCTACGAAGGACCCGAACCCATAACGAATTACGATCAGTCATGATTTGGTGACCTAGCTTCATGATAAAAGCCATATTATTCTCTTTAATTTTACGAAAACCAAGCCCCCCTACATTCTTCGGCAAACAAACTGTCTCCCAAGAAACCAGGTGAGCTTTCCTTCGTTCAGAAGTTGATCCCCAAATGAAATTCCTAGTTACACTCTCAATACGATCACACGTACCACTAGGAATAATACAAGTTTGCATAGGATATTGAGGAATTGCAGTAAGAACTGACCTAGCCAAAGTTGATCTTCCTGCCAATGAAAGAGTACGTTGATTCCAGGCATTTAAACGAGCTTGCATCCGATTTAAGATATAGCCAAACGTACTCTTTGTAACACGGCTATGACGAAGAGGAATACCCAAGTATTTACCCAAGTCATTTGTAGGAGAGTAGCCCATCAACTGGCTTAGATTCTGCACTCGGGTATGATTAACGTTTCTGGATAAGAAGACTTTTGTTTTTTCCTTGCTAACCTTCTCACCAGAGCACCTGCAAAAACAATCAAGAATCTTATTAATAATAACAGCTTGCCCTTCTGTGGCTTCTGTAAAGAGCAGAAGATCATCTGCAAAAAATAGATGGGAAAACAGTGGTCCCCTTCTATTCAATCTGATAGGCTTCCAAACGTCCTCTTGAACTGCTACATTAATCAAATGAGCAAGTCTTTCCATGCAAAGGATGAAAAGATAAGGAGACAAAGGATCTCCCTGACGAAGACCTTGATTAGGAGAAAATTCTGTCGTAGTTGATCCATTCCATAACAAATTCATTGTACATGACGAGACACAACACATGATCAGAGAAATAATATTCTCAGGCAAACCAACATCCACAACCGTGTCTTTCAGAAACTCCCAAGAAATCTTGTCATAAGCCTTTTCTAAATCAACTTTGACAATCATCCAACCCTTACCTCCTCTCTTTTTATTCATGGAATGGATGATTTCCTGAGCCACAATGATATTATCCGCTCCTTGTCTACCCTTAATAAAACCACATTGATTAGGCATAACCAAGTGAGCCATATGAAATTTCAGCCTATTAGCCACAATCTTAGTTACAGTCTTGTAAATAACATTACAAAGGCTAATAGGCACATCAATCTTAGGAATAGATACACTCACAAAAGAGATAACTGACTCACCCACCTTATCCCACTGAGATTGAAAGAAAAGAGCATTAAGCCCATCCTTCCCAGGCGACTTGAATCAAAAGAGAAGACTACAATCTCCTTACTGTTTGGCATAATACTCATCGTGTTAAAGCATGCGCTTCAATAACTGGAAAAAAGCCACGAACTGGAAAAGCCGGTTTAGGTAATGGATCTTTTGTGTACAGATTTTCAAAGAAAGAAACAGCCATTTCCATTAAAACCTGTTGATCACCAATCCAAACTCCCTCTGAGTTTTTCAACGTATCTATGCGATTCCTCCTACGTCTGGCAACCGTCACAGAATGAAAGAAACGCGAGTTCCTATCTCCAAGAGCAAACCAATTCAATTTTGATCTTTGAAACCAAGTAATTTCCTCTTGAAGATAAATCTTGTCTAGTTCCCTCCATAGATCCTTTTGCAACATCTCAAGGCTATGACTGTACTGATAACTAAGACATCTATCAATACCTCTAATCCTTGCATGCAAATCATTCTTTCTTTTCAGAGCAATCCTATAAACATTTCTATGCCATTCCGAAGCATTAATCTGAAATGTCTCCATAGCATGCATCCAGTTTACATTGTTTGACCAACTTCCATTAACCACCTCATGAAAAGTGCTCTCTGTTAACCAGGACGCTAGAAAATGGAAAGGACGCTCCCCTCTCGGATAAATAGCAGGTTGACCTTCCCATAATAACACTGGTCGATGATCTGAGCCAAAGAAAGGCAAGTTGAAAGCCACACGGTTAGGGAAAACCAAGTTCCAATTATCATTAGCGCAAACCCTATCAAGACGTTCCTGAAGATTTCTTCTTTGCCAAGTGAAAATAGGACCTTGATTGCCAATGTCAGACAAGCTACATTCATCTAAACAATCACGAAATTCCCTCATGCTATTCCAGTTATGCCCATTACCACCTAGCTTCTCTTACTCATACAAATAAGTGTTAAAATCACCTGCTATCCCCCAAGTTGCATTCCTCATGGACTGATCAAACAGTGAAGACAGAATTTCCCACAGCTGAATACGTTCCTGTCTTCGCGGACTTGCATAAATAAAAGTCATGAACTCCTCTCTATTTTCTTTTACCCAACAAATTTTAGTATGGACAAGTTGGTGATGAGAAAAAAGAACATCCACTGAAACTTCATCAGTGTTCCAAAGCACCCAAATACCGCCAGAAAAACCAACAGCATCACGATGAAAGTGACCAGAAAAACCAAGACGCCGAATAGCTCTATCCGCCATAACACCACTCAATCTAGTTTCTAACAAAGCCATAACTTTAATACTGTATCTATGAGAAAGATCCCGAATTAGAGGCGGAAAAATCCTTTTCCCAGCCCCTCTACAATTCCAGGTCAAAATATTCATAAAAACAATCTTAAATTTATCCGAACAGAAACCGGCCCTAAGAAAGAGCATTGGTATAGACCGAAGTCGCACCCAAAACGTCCAAATTATCCAAAGGGATAGAATCCTTGTGAGTTTGATAAAAATTCCTCATTAACGTAAGAGCATCTGGTGGTCTTCCATGTTTACCTCCATTATCCAAGCCACTAGAAGAAGGAAGAGTCTCTTGCTGATCATTAACCACATGAGACGTCTTCCTCTGGAATTTAGATATAGAAGGGTGCAAGACAATTTGTCTATCTTGGAAATCCTCCGACATATTCTTCTGAGAATCAAGTTTAAAATTATTCTTTTGAGATTCTGCACCTTTTGAAGCATTTAATCTACCTTTGCTAATATTAGCATTCTGGACCAGCTGATGAACTTTAGCAGATGATGCAGTTGCTTTCTTCTTTTGGTTCTCTTTGAATTTTGCTCCTTGACTTTGGACCTCTTTTCTCGACTTGCCCGCGGATAGGTTAGCAGATGGAGAAACTGTTTCCATTTGAATATCCTTTTTCATCAACGGTTCTTCATTATGAGCAATTAATTCCCCATGATTAATTCGTGTCAGACCAGATTCAATGTTGATTGAATCAATCACTGGAGAATCAGAAATAATTAAGATATTATTATCCTTTTGAGCCAACTCAGCAATAGCTTGAAATCTTGAACCTGATTGAATGACCTGTCTGTGATTAGGATGATAATTGGAAACTGCCTTATTACGTAACGCTGCATTATTAACAACACCAACTTGTCTCCTACCCGATGGTAATGATTCCTCCTTTGATTGTGCTATGCTCCTTGATTCCTCCTTTGATTGTGCTATGCTCCTTGATTCCTCCTTTGATTGTGCTATGCTCCTTGATCGACGGTTACGCTGCACTAGCATCCAATTCCCAAACGGTTCCTCCTTCGCAGGAACAGAATCTTTTTCCGGCTGCTTATGCACCACCGAGTTAGAAACTTCAGGAGAATAAGCCGTAGTATCTTGTTGAAGATTACTATGGGAACACTGATCCCTTCTATGCCCATACTTTCCACAAGCAAAACAAACTAAGTGGAGACCCTCATATCCAACATGGAAGATACGATCAGCAATCCAGAATTTGGACAAAAAGCCTTTCCTAAGATCAACTTCGACACAAATTCTAGCAAACTTTGCTCTCTCTGTAATATCACCTTCACCAGAATCACGTTTCCTGATAGAGTTCCTATCAATCTTCAATGTGCGACCAAAAATACTACCTATATTCCACAAATGATGAGAGGTATAGAATTCAATAGGAAGTCCTGGAATACGAATCCAAACTGCCAGCTTTCTGATCTCATCATCATAAGGATTAAAAAATGGACGCCACCGTTGAACTACCACATAATGATCAGCTATGATCCAAGGACCATCCTCCAAAACATGAGAGTAATCATTCTTATTTGAAAATCGGAACAAAAAGTAGTCATTCTCGAGATCAATGAACTCATATGTGCCTGAGATATTCCACATTCTCAGTAAACGATTGAGTAAGAATCTAACTCCAACTTTCTTCCCCAGAAGTTTCACAATCACTGCCTGTCTCCAAGGTCTGCAACCTTCTAAATGCAAGGCTTTTGGAAAAGAGTACGTTGGGCAAAGAGGATCCTCCTTACCATCAACCGTAACAAGTTTTTATCCTATTTTTCCCTCTATTGCATTAGGATGGCACCCTCCATCAAAACCAAACTCCACCCACCTCCGCGATGCCTCCTTCTTCTTGCTAGTGACATTCACTGCATCCTCCTCTGCCATAGCATTCACAGTCCACTCCCCATGCCGGCCGGTTTGGCTCA